CAAAAGGACAAAGACACTAGCTCATTTAATTCTTTAAAGGTCCTTTGCAAGATCCTTCTGTTTCTTTCAGCCCAGATTGTGGTAATCACAGCTGCTGGAATAGACAACCAGATACGCCTTGCTAACTTTGAGAGACCTTGTAATTCCCGACTCCAAAGGCAGTCCAAAACAGAGTTGAGCATAACCAAGTTCACCCCCAAAGCAGAGAGATAAGTGCCCCCATATACTGAACAGATTGTGGTAATCACTGGAGCAATGAAGAAACAGGTGATTAGTGTCCTCCAAAGCCTGCCCACACAGTACACAGTTCTGGTCATCAATCTGCATCCCTCTTCTAGACAGGTTTGATTTTGTTAAGCATTTATTTAGAGCAGCTGCCCACACCAGAGCATTCACTTTGGATGGGGAGAAGGGATTCCAAATCATGGGCAGCTGGAATCACCCCACAGTTGCTCTCAGTCAACTTGAGAGCAAAAGATTTAACCGAAAACATTCCATCTGCAGCCCAGTCCCAACTCCAACTATCTTCTCTGTTTAGGTACAGTTCCTGAACTGAAATGAATTCAAGAAAATTAGCTAGACTATTAATCTCCCAATCCTGAAATTCCTCCGAAAGGCAGGTTCCACACAACAGACCTCCCAATCAGCTCAAGCAATCTGCCACCAGCACTTCCTGATCTTCTGCCATTTGAAACAACTGAAGGAAGAGCTCTGAGATCCATTACCCAACTTAGGACTCAGCGCTCTACAGAAACTTGGGAGAATGTCCATTACTTTTTTTTCCAGATTGAACAGCCTAAGGTGGGCAATGAAGTAGGGGCGCCTAGGTGTCGCCTTGGCGACTAGGCGTTTTTTCATGGTTGCCTCGCCCAAACGCCACAAGTTTTGCATATTAGGCGCCTGCCCCGAGACTTAAGCGGGCGCCTAGGTGCCTAGGTGGGCACCTACATACAAGGCGGGCGCCTACATTCATCTAAAAAACTATATTTTTTTTTAATTTATTGTTTTGATATATATATTTTTTAAATTTATTGTTTTGATATTTTATTGGATGTTTTATTCTTTTAAAATAAATCTGGTTACATGATATCATTTTAGTATTAAGACCAAGTACACAGCCTTTTTTTTCTTTATGTCATAAGGGTTTTTTTTTGGTTCGATTGGAGAGGAGGAGAACCGAAGGCTTCAAGCCCCAGCCCAACTCCATCGCACCTCAGCTCCAGCAGGTAAGTTCTTCTAATCTTCTTCTTCTTCTTCTTCTTCTTCTTCTTCTTCTTCTTCTTCTTTCTCTTTTCCAGATTTCAGTCGAATCAGTCCTGAGTTCTCTCTTCTCAGCTCAGACATTTTTTCATTTTTTTTCGAAAAAACTGGGGCTCCAGCCCTATACTCCTCGGTCCCTTTCTCCACTCATTCATCATTTTTTTTTTTTGCTTTTTTTTTTTTTTGAAAAAATAGGGGCTCCGCCCTATACTCCTCTCCTCCCTTCACTGATTCAGTCATTGTTCTCACTTCTCACTTCAGTTTTTAACAGCCGAACCTATCATTAATATATATGAATATGATTATATGGCTGAAATCTATAGATTTTATATTTATAGATTCCACCGCCTAGGTGCCTGGGCGCCTAGCCTCGCCTAGTCACCTTGACAACTATGATCCAATCTCCTCTATCCGAACCATATTTTGCAGCAATTCCTCCTCCTCCTCCTCCTTATTCCAGCCCTTCCATAAGAAATCCCTCTGCAGCTTTTCAATTTTTTGGGCCACTTTCCCCGGCATGGGAAACAAAGAGAGGTAGAAGGAAGGAAGATTGGATCATTGGATAAAGAACTTTTCAAAAGCGTGATCCTACCTCCAAGAGAAAGATATTTAGCCTTCCAGGAAGCCAGCTTCTTCTCCAGCTGCTCCAAAACTGGTTCTCAAATCAGAGTTGAAGTGCATTTGGCACCCAGAGGGGGGGGCCGGGTATTTGATAGGCAGAAAACCTACTTGACATGCAAAGATCTCAGTCAATTCCTCAATGTACTCCACATTCCCCAGAGGAATTAGGCTACTTTTTTCCCCACCAAAGTTCACTTTTTTCTCCAGTTCTAATCCTTTCACTCTCTTGTCAATGACTTATCCAAATCATTTTTAAGAGGTTCTCTAGTGCTTATTTGCCCACTATGTGCTGAAATATTTGTAGGATTTCTTTTGCATCCTACATCAGGGAGATAACAGGTACAGTTCAACTTTATTTTGAGATTGTGGACCTTAAATATATTCCTAAAGGTTGTCCAAGGAACTAGTCAGGCTAATCCCCGGTTCAACTGACTCAAATCCCTGTCAAAGGATTTGTCTGTCATACAAATATATTTCCCACCATGTGTTGAAATATTTGTACTTTATTTTGAGATTGTGGACCTTCTTAAATATATTCCTAAAGGTTGTCCAAGAAACTAGTAAGGCTAACCCCTTGGTTCAACTGACTCAAATCCCTGTCAAAGGTTTTGTCTGTCATACAAAGGTCATGCTAAAACCAAATGCCTAATCCACAACTTTGTAAGTAAACTTGGTTTTCGTTAAAATTTATTTTCATATTGAAAGTGAGTGCCCAAAACAGAATTTCTGCTATTTTTCTTGGAAAACCTAAAGTAAGCAATTCATTTGCCCAATTTGAATGCAGAGTCAGATTCTAGTTGGGAGCAGGATAGATTTTGGGTATTTTTTGGAGTTGGTAGAATGGGTACATTGGTTATATTAGTAAATAGTTTTTTTATAATTATATTTTGCAGTAAGCTTATTGTTTTAAGTTCTAAGCCAAGTAGAAGTAGGAGTCCAAATTAGCTGCTTTCGTAGGTACATTAATAAAACTAGAAGTTTGTCTTCAATGTGGATGTGTGATGCTTCCAAGGTTAGGAGTGAGGCCTAAAACTATCTAGGATCCCTTTGGTTGCAGGTGGACCCCTCCCCCGGATGTGGTAAGCCTTTTTGACCCAAACTTTTACAGGCAACTGAAGAAGTGGGGTAGAATAATGTGGAGAGCTACAAGAGCAGCCACTCTTTGGTCAATTTGGGAAGAAAGAAATAATAGGATCTTTAAGAATACTAAAAGATCCAAGGAGGAAATTGTAGAAGGAATAACTATTAAGGTTATTCACTGGTTGAAAACAAGTGAGCTGTTTAAGGACTTTTCAGCTGATAACATTCACAGCAGATGGGGTGAGGTGGCAGGTACTACATCCCTAAGGCCTGTGGTGCAGGAAATGTGGGCCCTGCCAACTTCCCAAAACACAAAGTTGAACTTTGATGCCAGCTCTATAGGTAATCCGGGACCGCTGGGTATGGGGGGAGTATTTAGAGATGGGGAAGGCAGAATTATTGCTGTGTATTCGGGGCCAATAGGAGAAGGAGATTTGTTAAGAGCAGATGCCAAACATTTGGGACTACATCAAATGGAGATTGAAGGGGACTCTAAGCTGTTAATGGGGTGGATGCAGTCAGGTTGTATGGGAGCATGGAAATATAGACAGATGATAAGGGAAATAATGAATATAATGAGGGAGATTGGTGTGTGCTTTAAGTGGACAAGAAGGTCAGCTAACGGGCTAGAAGATACCTTAGCAAAACAAGGGACTGTAAGGGAGAACATGTTTTGGGCAGTGCTGTAATGAGTATGTAACTTGGGTCAACTTCTTAGGAGTAGACAGGTGTACCTTATCATAGTTTTAAATTTTAATGAAGTTACTGTTTCCATTAAAAAAAAATCTAGGAGTGAGTCCTAGTTTTCTCTTTCTTCTTCAAGTGTAAGACTAGGCAAATTCAACAAGGAATTGCAATTGAGAAGATAGAGGAAAAAAGAAGAAACAATGAAGCAGGTACAGTAGATCCACACAGATGACCTAAAAAATTAGATCTATATCAAGTCCCAAGACCTGCAGATTCATGAGGCAATCCATTGTAACGTACCCAGTGATGTGGCCCATTGGCCCTATCCCTATGACGATACTTATAGTTTAAGTGACAAGAGGGTGAAACACTCTTAGGCCCATTTGTCCCCTTTCACTTTCATAATTGCATTCAAGTGGTGCATTTGTGTGCTGTATTGGTGCTAAGCACTTAACTAAAGATGCACATTATGATCAAAAAAAAAAAAAAAAGATGCACACAGCATAGCAATAACAAACATGTCAATTGGAATGGAGTAGCTAGTTAGGGTGAAGAACCGGTTTGCTGTGTTTACTGGGACAAATCAAAGCAACCTTTAGATTAAGGAACAGCACAATAAGGAGGTCATCCCATTATACTTTCTCTAAAGAAAGAAAAAGCATTTGAGGAATAAAATAATTACTTTCATCATCATCATCCAAGCCTTATCCCAATTATATGGGGTTGGCTACATGATTCCTGTTTCACCAGTCTGTTCTGTTTAATACCATATCCATTGTAAAATTATGGGCACTTCAATTATTTCTTACTACTTTGGCCCTTGTTCTTTTTGGTCTACTCCTTGCCCTTCTAGCTGCTTCAATTTGAAATAGAGTGAATGGAATAGATTGTAATAACATGCTTCAAATATTTTAACTTAACACACTTACAACAATCATTTCTGCTTGGTAAGCCTGTTATTAGTGGTAATATGGTTTGAATTGAAACAAATACCTTTTGCTCAATGAGATAGGCTATTGCCAATGCTGTTTAAAGTTTTAATGGCATTCTACAGCACAAGGTCTTGAGTCCATGTTTGAATTGGTGGGCTTTCTGCATTGCAATTTGCAATTACATTGTAGCCATGTGGTTGTGAGTTCTGTCCTTGCCTACCACCAAAATAGCAAGTCATGCAAAATGTATGTTGTAGAATGAGCATTCAGATAACAAGAACATTTATACACTTTTGTATAAACATTACCATCTTGGATATCTATTGGTAAAGCTCATAGAATACTTGGTTAGATTTATCAGGCATATGTTCTGGTTTGGCTTTGTTGGTAATGTTTATTTTTTTAATATATATTCAACAGGTTGGGTATCACCCTGATTTTGAAAGTTCGCGATGTTTGTTCATAGTACGGAAGGATGGACAGTTTGTAGATTTCTCATACTGGAAATGCATGAAGGGACTTATCAAGAAGAACTATCCTCTCTATGCAAATAGCTTCATTCTGAGACATTTTCGACAGCATAGACACGGCAAATGAAGTTGATGAATCAATAAGCATGATGCTTTCTACCATGTATAAAAGGGAGAGTTGGAAGTGGTGTTTGGACTGCAATAGATTTGAATTATTAAAAGTATCATGCTGTCTACCGCGCAGGAAAGGGAAACTGTTGAGAGCGCAAATTGGTTTTACTGAAAGCCATTCCTTTCATCTGCATTCACCAACGGATGCTGTTGAACAGTTGAAGTGGCTCGATCTTTTATCATGCCAGAATCAATGTTCTTATATTCTGTATGTTTGATTAGTTTATTATAAGTGTAAGGTCTAGAAATGTGGAGGATGAAAAATTTCTCAATTGTTTGAAGCCTCCTTTAATTGTCGGCATGACATGATATTATCATCTTCATGACAGGGATGGAGCTTTATTAGTTGTTTGAAATGGTGAAATCCCACACGCCTAGGAGGTTTGAAGACTCAACCCGCCATTTTTCAGTATAATACATCATCTCCCCAAAACAGAAAAACTAGCTACCTTCGTCATTATTTTTATTTCTAAAAAATGAGTAAAAGTAAAATTTCCATAAGTGAATATGGTGTACAGCTTCATGGATCATGGGCAAGTTTCAGCTTGGTATCTCTCCTCTGGCAGAATAAAGTCCTCTAGCTATTTTTTTTATAATATTTTATTATCTGTAAAGCTTCAACATATCATTTGGAATGCCCACATTGCCTTGGTGGTTTAAATGAATTAATTCTGTTAGTCGCATATCATCCAATAATTTTTTTTTTTTTTCTATTCATTAAAATTTTGTAGTAGGCTTAAAACCTTGGAATAAGTGCCAACCTCTGATTGGGTCAAAATTTAGATGATGAGCTTCAATTTGGGTGGTTTAGATTTGTGCCATTAACTTGGGCATGGCGGCATGCCAGAAACTAAGATGACTTACCCATTAGTTAGGGCATTTTTTTTTATGCGAATGATACAGAATTGTTAAAATATGCATCAAATAAAAAAATAGAAGTAATACTAGAACAAGATATTAAAAATATACATTAAAACACGACACAAAATTGCAAAAAAAAAAAATCCAAGTATAACATAAATCGTGAGAAAGAATGTAATATTACATTGGACTACATAAAAATAATATATAACACAACTTAATAATTATAATATTTTCATTTCAAATGTCCATTTGGAAAGATTACAAATATAAATATGTTCGGTGTAAAACCTTATACAATTTAGGCTCAGTTTGGAAAGAGCACAAATATAAATATGTACTGTGTAAATATAAGATTTAAAAATGCTGTATCTATAGGCTTCGTTTGGAAGGAGTATTTTATATTGTACATATTTGTATTTATACTCTTTGGCAATACATAAAAATATATTCGATGCAAAACCTTGTATACGCTATTTTTAAACTTTATATTTGCATTATTTATACTCTTTCCAAATTTTAACTTCAAAATGTTTAAAGAATAAAAAAAACCTAGTGGCCTTCATATTCATTAGGTTAAAACAAAGTATTGTCTTTCTGAACTCGTTGATCCAGGCCCAGGCCCAGGCCCATTTAACACCATAGCCTGGGTCGCTCCTAAATTAAATACCACAAATTTACCGAGAAAAAAAAAAGAAATAAATATTTTTTCCACTTTGCCATACTTGGCAAATGACACGTACGCGTCTCCTACTAAAACTAGGCTGACTTGTAGGCTAATTACCTAAAACCGTATATGAATATATGGTAATTGGTAAGGGGTGTGCAGTTTAGCTCTAGGCGAACCTTAAGGTATCAGAGAGGGGGAGAAGGGGGAGGCTGATGTTTCCTCGTGGTGTAGCGAAGGTTGATTGGTGATGGGGTATATTCACTGTTGAGTGTTGAGTATTTGCGAGGATCGTCTCTCGAAGGTTTTTCACACAGATTTCAATTCATACTCGTAATTTTCAGTGTAAGAAGTTACCAGAGGATAAGGCTGCGGCCTACGGGTTAGGATTAGGGTTAGGGTTTATTCTGCAACAAGAAAATCGATTTCGAGTGCTTGTAGGGGTGAGATAAACAAAGAAGAGGAGATGTGGCACGAAGCGAGGAGATCGGAGAGGAAAGTCCATGACATGATGGACGCAGCTAGAAAGAGAGCGCAGAGACGAGCTTTGTTTCTAGCGAAGAGGCGTGGCGACCCTCAGCAATCTCTCCAGGTTGTCGGATCTCGGTGCCGCATGTACCGCGACGACGGCCTCTATCAAGCTACCCAAGATCAACAAGGCCTGTAAGAATTTTCGTCTCCGCGTGCTTCTTTAATGGCGAAAGAAGTTACAAGAGAGTTTGCAGAGTAATTCATTTGTTATAGTGGTTTGTTTGTCTATGGTTCTATCGTGCTGTTTCCCTTTCCCGCAACTCTTTTTCTCCCTATCATATCCTCTTATTTAGTCTTTATAGAAAAGTTGTCTTGGCTTCCTAATATTTCGTGAGTAGTGAATTTACCGATGATTTACTGAATTAGATAAGTTATAAATGCAAGCATGAATGATTTCGCTATTTTGGTAATATAAGAACTGCAAAGAAAATTTATCCAGAGGAAAAATAAGAACTAAAGCAAGGGTAAAACTGGAAAATAAAAAAGTTTAAGTAATACCGATGGGGCATGGTATTTCTTCAAATTGGTAACAGTTGAGGGTGCTTAAAAGAACTGAAAAATGGTGGGAAACTAATGTGGAGTAAGGTTAGTGGACAATAGGCTCTAAGAATTTGCTTTTGAGGAAGCAAAGATAAGGGTAAGAGTAGTTTTAGATGCCCCAAATATATATGCCTCAACTGAAAAGTTTGTCTACGTGCTATATACAAAGAAGCAAAATCAAACATCAAGAAAGGATGTATTTCCTTAAGATTCTAATTCCATAATTAGAATTATCTTTAATGGTTAGGCTCCTTCACAGCCACATAACATCTTGAGTACTCATCTAATGGTAATCTTGGACTACCTCTTCTTTATCAAAGATAATATAAAATATCTTTGAGAGCCTAAGCATCACACTAAAGGCCATTACCTAATGTTGGTTCAATCTTCATGGGTCTTGACAGGGCTATCCAGAATGTGGACCTAGCCTTTGGCATTTTTTTTTGCACAAAGTGGCCTGTCAAGCTAGAACATGTGTTCTTGCACTTGTCAGCAGGAGATTTTACTATTGCACCAAGCCCTTTCTCAGTTAAGTATCAAACTGTGGACCCAAAGTTGATTCTGGCCCAACTTTATGTATGATTAACCCTAGGTTGAGCTTTCCAAAAAATTTGGGGGTCAGGGGGATGCCCCTTCCTACAACCCCCCTTGGTTTGTCCATGTGTGGCCCCATCACCTAATTTATATTTTATGGCATTTTTGGCATTCCGTTGCTTGTATAGATATGTTGGATCCTTTGCATCCACGAATGTTCTTGTTGCTTGTTTGTGGATGTTTTCAGCTCTGAAAAAAATTCTCTTGAACAGCTTATCTTCGGACCCTACCTATCCTATCCTTGATCTCTATTAAACCCACATGATGCCCAATATTTGTAAAGCTGCAGAAATAAATTCTTTCCTGGCCTTTAGCAATCACTTTAAACTTGAGATTGGCTCGTACGAATTATAGGATTTGAATTATTACTTACATTTTGTTCTAAATTTGTTACAACCTTTTTTTGTACTCAAGGAGTTGTATTGGCATAAATTACATTTGTATAATGAACTTTTGGGGGATGTTTCCATCTTCATTGTTTTGAACCACCCCATTAGGGTTGTCATCTTGTTTTTTTTTTAAAAAAAATTCTTTTGCACCTTGTTTTCTATTACAGGATACCATGGAATGGGAAGCAAAATATATTGATTGACAGGTGAATTCTTTGCTTACTTGATGCTATTCATGTAAGATAGACAAGTTAACATCAAGTAACTGTTTTTTTCCTCCTATTCTGTGAAGCAGATTTGATGGTCGTTCTCTTCTTGATTTCATTCGAGATAGTGATTCCCGACATTTCCGAGTCCAAGAAAAAACAGAAGAGGAAGAAGAACTAGAAGAGTTTGTTAATTTTGAGCGTTATCGGGATTTAATTAAGCATCGGCGTAGAGGATGTCGGTACTTTTTGATTTTTTTCTTTCATTAACATGGTTCTATGTATATACTCTGTTTTTATCTTTTTTTTTTCTCATTGACAAAGGAATTCCAAGTGAAAGGACCATGCATTTTTTTAATAGTCAATTTTATGGCACATAATTGTTTGGTGTCAGTTATCACAAGTTGAACAATGTCTATTAACAGTTACTGATGAAGAGGGGTTGCAACATGTTAACCAAGAGATGGAAGCAAAGTCTGCTGCTCCATTTGTATCAGACAGGTCTGAACTCTTTCCTGTCATGGTTACTCTAATCATTTACTTAGTTTATATGTTTATGAAAGTTTATTTTTACCCTCCTAATTCCTTCATGGATTTATGTCTTCTATGTATTTGGGTTATGGTTATTTTATGGATATTGAATTATCATTTTCTTAATGAACTACTGTTATGGATGATCACATATTTATGTGCTTTTTATTTGATATAGAATCTGAAACTGCATATTCTTAAATGTTGATTTATTTTATTTTATATTTTTGGAAACCTTGTGTCTTCATTTGGACATTTACCCTGCCCCACTTCGCATCTTGTGCCTTAGGCATTTGAAAGCCCCTGTTCTTTTTGTTTCACCACTTGCTTTTAAAATACTTCTGATTATCACAGATTTTTCAGTGTATGGTTATCAGGTCTTGATGATTCGAATTCCTTTGAGCGTAGGGATTTTGTTTTATAGTTATTGGTAATTCTGCTGTCTGTAGTATTTGTTGCCATTTGGTTACAATTTGGTAGGTTTTAGTTTTTCTCTAGCTCTAAATGTAAAAGTTTTTGTTAACTTCTTAGTGGACTTAGAAAAATTTGGACAATTTGGAGAAGATGGGTTATTACCATTTGGCCCAAGGGGTACCACCTTTTGTAGGCCAACATTAATCTTAATAAAGCCATATTTTTTCCAATGTTTGAAGGTTTTGGTATCAGGCCAGAATTGCCAGATGGAATAATCCTGTTTGCTTAATAAGATTAAACAGCTTCTTGGTTCTTGCTCCACTGGTACAAGGATTTCTAGGGGCTATGATGAGTCAATGACATAGCTATCATTTTATCAAAGATCATTTTAGTTTGGAAATAAGGTACCCCAGGTCATAGTTGCAGCAGGAGGTTTCTGCAGGCATACTATATCAGCATGTTTAACAGTTTTATGTTCAAAGCCCATTTATTTTCCACACTTTTGATACTTTGTCTGTCCATATTTAATGGAACTGTTTGATTGTTACCTGAAGCAAAAAAAAAAATAATCTGATACCTTTACATTGGTGCTATGCCATGTCAGAGACTTCAACACTAGTGTGCATTCCATGTATGACATCTCATACAGCTGTGAGCCAACTGGACTTGCATCTTCAGTTTCTTTAAAGTTTTAAAGTATGGTGGTGGTTCAGAATTATGGTTCATAAACTTGTATGTGGTCAATATATTTGTACAGCATCGATACTATTCTTGAAATCGCATAGGGGTGTAAGTCCACTATCCGATTTGAAGAATTTACATTGCATTAAGCCCTAGATTTTCAGGCCAGGCGGCTCAGGCCCATTCAAATTTCAACAAATTTCCAACCTGAGCCTGCTCAAATTGCAACCCTTTTACCTTGGAGATTTGTTTCCAGAAATATATCATTATTATGTACTTACGGTGATGCATATTTCTGCTGTTATCATTCTGCAAATTATTTTCCTGGTATGGTGTACAGTTGGTAAAGAAATATTTGTTAGATGAACTAGTTTTTGGTTGACATAATGGAGCAATACAATTTGTTCATTCCTTTTTTTTTCATGAGTGTCTATCTGCATGCACATTGTTTTTCCTTGATGCCTGGATATACCTCCCTTGCCCTTTGGAACATGAGCTTCTCTTTTGTGACAGTGGTTGGTGCTGGAAGTTGTAATTCTCTCTTGTGTATAGGATGCTAACTTAAATATTTATGTTTTTTTGAAAGAAGTATTAATAAAGCTCAAAGCGGTTGTTCTATTACTTAAATATTTATATTAGCATTCCCCCCTTTATTAACATAGATCTTGTCAGAATTTTTGTAGTGGTTCTAAGTTCATTCTTGTGATTTACTATTGTTTTCTTTTATGTATTTGTGGTTTCTAGTAGATCACATCCAGCACAGCCTCCAAGTAGCAAAGGTTCATATTCACAGGTTGGGTTCTCCTATGATGGGAATGGGAAAGAGGAAGCTCATCTTTTGGAGAGTGATGATGAGGAAGATGATGAGGATGTGGATGAGGATGAAGATGACGGTAATAGTGATGACAGCAATGATGAAGGAATAGATACCATTGCAAAAGAATTTGGAGTGAAGAGGTATAATTGGCTTGTTTACATGGATAAAAAAGCCAAAGAGGAAGAGAAACGGCAGAAAGAGGTGATTAGAGGGGATCCCGCGATTGTAAGTTCAGCACAAGTGCGAACCATCTTTTTATTGCACCTTGCTGTCTAGTTGGTTTTTCTTATCAATTGCCTTCTGATACTTGCAGAGGAAGCTGAGTCGCAAGGAAAGAAGGAAGGCTTCTCAGATGGAAAGGGAAAGAGAACGAGAAGCTGCACGTATAACAGGAACCAGGGTTCTCCATCATGATCCATACAGGTAATAGCCTAGTTTTTTTTTTTTTTTTGTGTGTGTGTGTGTGTGTGAATTCTATTTGGGAATTTGTGAATTATTTATGATGATACAAATAACTAACATGATATATTCTGTTATGCACATTCTTCTGATTCTGTTGATCCATGATCTACAGGGAGACTCGACGGAGTCCCACGTATGAAGCCTATTCTCGTTCTAGGAGGTAAAGTAGTTCTTTAGGTTTATTACATCTCATGGTGCACATATTTTTCATTTTATTAGCTGACATAATCTTGAAAAAAAATGGTTTTTGTGGACAGATCAAGATCCAGATCTAGGTCACACTCCCCATCGTATTCAAGGCGCCATGATCGTGGTGTGCATTCTGATAGCAGTCACCGAAGCAAGCCAAAGGCTCCCAAAATTGAGTATATTACTGAGTTTGGGGGTTCTACTGACTCGGACCCAAAGCTGCAAGGATTCTCACCACCACCATCTCCTCCATCTCAAGTTGATGTACTGAACCGGTCGGAGCACTCGACCTTTAATTCTTGCAAAGATGACAATGTTTTCTCTGCTGCAGCTTATTCTCCCATTCTGGTTACTTCAGGCAGAAAATTTTGGGGTATAGGTTAGATGAGGCCTAGGTTTAACAGCATAACTGCCAAGAAAGAGTGGCAGGGGGTGCTTCATGCCAGAAGCGTGACTTTTCCCTCCTTTTTGTGAAATAAATCTTATATTAATGGTTCCAAAGTGCTGAGCTTGGTATTTGAACTCCCAACGAGTGACTAATGTTACTGCTTCTCTGCAGGCCATCATCTGGTCGCATACTTGAGGCACTGCATGTTGATCCTGCATCTGCTGTATCCCTTGACCAAGAAAAGATCACTAAAGTGTTGAAATCATCAACAAGGTATATCTTTTGATGTCTTGGTCCTATTTGAATCTCTATGTTCTGTTTGTACTTACGTTTAAAACAAGTACTCTATAATGTTGTACTTATCATATGCATTTTATTTTATTTTTTTGTTATTTTTGTTTATGGGTATTACTATTATCTAGTTAGTTTTACAAGTGGTCTTGTTTTGTTGAATGGTAGCACATCATCAGCGTTGTCGAAGCTGAGCAAACCAATTGCTCCAGGGGCTGCTTTGAAAACACAACAGGGTGAGAAAAAGGAAACACCTCAAGAGCGCCTTAAACGAATTATGAACAGACAACTGAATAAGCAAAGTATGGTGCCATGCTCATTTTCTTAGTGAATTAGTTGGTATAATAATAGTCCTAGCATGCCATAATGGAGAGGCAAGAAACATGATTGTTTAAATGATAGTTTTCAAGGCGCCAAGGCGAGGCTAGGCGACCATGGGGTGCCCAGGCGCCTAGGCGCCTATGGAATTTAAAAATAAGGCTTTCTACACCTTTTGAACTAGTTTTTTTTGGTTTTATGTATTCTGCACTTACTTTTCTACTTGTATTTCTTGCTGTGTTGCTTCAAGTAGGCAAAAAAAATATTGATAAAAAAAAAGTAGGCAAAACAATATATTAGAGTTGCCACTTACAAGTTAGAAGTTAGAACTTGAAAGAACTGAAAGGGACTCCGCCCCTATTTTAGATAACAATACATAGGGAACAAATACTAAAATAAAAGAAAATGAAAAAGAAAAGTCGGGGGCTCAGCCCCTGTTCTAGACCAGAAAAGTTGGTGAAAAAATATTAAAATAAAAGAAATATAAAGAAGAAAAGAAGGGGCGGAGCCCCTTTTTAAGAAACCAATGATGAGAACAAAAAAAAAAGCTGAAAAAATCCAAGAAATTAAGAACAAAAGAAGGGGGCGGAGCCCCTGTTCTAGACCCAGAAGAAGAAGAAGAAGAAGAAGAAGAAGAAGAAGAAGAAAACTGATTTACTCACCTTGACTTTAGAGGACTGTGTGGGAACGATGGAGGGCTGTTGTTCTCTCCTCTTCCTCAGTTTGATTCTATTGTCAAAGTGAAGCCCTCGAAGGTTAATTTTGATTTTACTTCCTCAAAACAAAAGCATGATAACATGCAATAGGTTCTATTATAAAAACTAAAACAACCAATAAAATATTATATATTTTTTATTTTTTATTTAATAAATATTTATATAGTATATATTTGCTTCAGCCCCTTAAGCATGCGCCTAACATAGTTGGCGTTTGGGCGAAGCGTTATTTGAAAAGCGCCTAGTCGCCTAGGCGACCTTGACAATTATGGTTTAAATGTATAGAATATATTTATTTCTGATTTATATATGCACATTACTGTTGCTCTTGCAGTCAAAAAAGATACTGCAGTTGAGATGGCCAAGAAACGAGAACAAGAAAGGCAACGGTTGGAAAAACTGGCAGAAACAAGTAGAGTAAGCCGTTATAGACCTCGCAGTGGCAGTAGAAGCCAGAGTCGTTCTCCACCAAGGTATTGAGAAGTGATACTAGGATTCTTCAATTTTCCATATGACAATTCAGATACGTTGTTGGTTTGTTATCTTAGCATAGAAACAGGGGCACAAACGTTCCCAACCCAAGTAAGGACTTATCATCATTACCAAATGATGGAACATGCAAAAGATCTGGTTTTGGTTCTGCAATGCCGGTTGCTGAGTCTGTAGATTGACTTGCACCACCAAGTTGCAGTTTTCCTTCTGGTGTCATGAGTTAACTAAAGACCTGCTCTTGAAATCTCTTGCTGATGTTTCTTCAGCAGAACTTTAATTTGTCATTTTCGTTAAGTTTCTTGTCTGTTTACTTCTCTGGTTTAGTACGATGAAAGTTAAGAGTTCCTCATGTCTGTTGTATGCATTACTGCAGAAGATATCGGCGTAGTAGAAGTCGGAGCAGAAGTAGAACCCCTCGAAGATATTACTCCCGTTCTCGCTCTCGCTCCCATTCCCATTCACGCTCTTCCCGCTCTCGCTCTCACTCTCGCTCACCAAGGTAATCTTTTGTTTGTGGAACCAGTGCTGTTTGTCTTTTGTGGTTTCTGTGGAATGTCTATGGGCTATTTGAGACTGATTTGGGGTATCAACACTTGCAGGGTCCGAAGCCGCTCTAGATATTGAGTGCAGGAGTGGAGTGATATAAATCCCCTTTTTTTTTTCTACATTTCCTTTATTGTACGGTTGTACCTTTTCGAGGGTAGTAGCTGCACGAGAGGCATTTGGCTCATTGGTTGAAACATCCGGGTGAGGTGGGTAGAAGGCGGGGGGACCGGCTATGCAGCCTTCTGTCTATTTATTATTAACGGTTTTCCCAAGCATACTTGATTGATGGCAATATATATAATATTAAAGTAAGTGTTTAATCATCACGTTACGTTGATCCAGATCTTAACTTTAATTCGGAGGCTCGAATATCCAATTTGAGTTGTTTCAAGATTTGTGTATAGAAAACAGATGCAATTGTCTTGCGCTTCTGTAAAGCAAAAGTTTTGTTGTTCAGGGTTTCAGCGCCATCAATTGTAGAGGTGTAAAGTGGGCCTTGCCGTGCCAGCCTGCAGGCTGTTATAGGCCGTGTCGCCTTTCCTGGTGAAAAATTTGGGGGTTGGTTCAGCCTGTGTTATGTCGTGGGTTAGGTTGGCCCATGGGCTGTCTTGAGTCAGATTGGGCTGTGCATCAGTCTAAAATTATTTATTTAAAAAAAATGATAAAAAACTTAAAATTTTAATTTTATATGAATTTTGTGTATATAATTGCTTATATATACAATAATTAAATAAATTAATATAATAAAATTTAAAAAATATTTATTTTATTAATATGTTATATATTATATATTTATAATTTATATAATATTATATATATAATATAGTATAAATATATAAATAATATATATAGGCTGTGCTGTATGCTGTGACCTAAAATCTTAGACCCAGCATGATTTGCATGATTGTGCCGAACCTGGCACGGCCTGTGGATCATCATATTGGTCCAAGGTTGTGCCGGGCTACGAGTGGCATAACCCAATTTACACCTCTAATCAATTGTTATCTTTGTTTATCGAGTCCTGCTGGCTATGGTACCCACACAACCTGCCAGCTAATTAATAGGTTAGAATCCATTTGTTCTGGATCGTTAGTGGGTCGGTTAATCCAACAAGAGATCATGTAACGGGTTGGGTGATTGGGTCATGGTTAACCGCTGGATATCCATTGCCAAAGTAGGGTTTTCCAGGTTAAAAACCATTTTTTTTTTACATTCTCTGAGCGAAAGAAAAACCTGGAGTGGATAAGAGCTTTCTCTATGATGGTTAAAAACGGCTTTTAATGAGAACTGTGGTAGAAAGCTGGCTTGAATCAGCGCTGGCAGTAGTTCAAAACAGGCAAATAGGAGTGAGTGAACTGTTTTCTACCTTCATTAAATTTGTTCTCTATTGAGAAAGGCACTAGGTAAGATCTCTTTTGCTATTCTTTCCTTTTCTTTCCTGTTTGCTCATAAAGTGTTCGAAAAAAAAAAACCCAAAACAGGCAATTGCAAAAAATGCTTGTCATCTCCAAATCCTTTATCCTTCACAGTACTTCTGGCCTTTGAATTCTTCACTCATTCTCTTCGATCCCAAACTTTGCCGTTTGCAAGCAAAAATAGATGGTGTTTGAAACGATGTCAATGCATCTGTTAGACAATGTTATGTGGCGCTGCTAAAGTTTAGAAAATACCATATTTTACCCTCAAGTTTGAACTGCTGACCTGGACGATTGAATCACTAAATTGTTTAATCCAGTAAATGGGTTTTGGGTCATTTTTTATTTTAATATATTTATTTTTAAGTTTGAAAACATCATGGTTGATCCATTCGGACTGAACGATCCAACTATTGACTCAGAATCTGGTGGCCAAAGTGGTTTCGTTTTGGATTAGTTTTTAAAACCTTGATTAATTGGCTTAGTTTACTTATTTAGATCCATTAGATTTGTTTATTTAATTTAACTAAATAACTTTGTTTTATTTAATTATCTTAATTAGTGTAATGTGTTTAATTTACTTAATTAACATAATTAAATACTTAATTATACTTAGGGTCATTTAATTAGACCCGGAAGTAATTTACTTAACTTATTTAAGTGGCCCATTTTCAATCTTTAGGGTTGAAAGTGCCAAAGTGGCCTTTTCAAACATTAGCAATGCCACATAACATTGTCTAATAGATTCATTGACATTGTTTCAAATGCTACAAATGGCTTTTTTTTTTAAACCAAGTCTAAGGTTGAAAATGGTGTTTTTTATTATTTAGGGTCAAAATTAGCATTTTCACAAAGTTTAGGGGTTGTCAAAGTCAAAAATCCATATTTTATGCAATTTGTGGTTTTCTATGTTTTCTTTGTATTTTTTGTTAATTTTTCATTTTCTATATTTTTCTAAATTTTTTTGTTATATTACTCTATAATATCTGTTAGCTTTCTGCATTTGTTGATTTTTATGTTTTTTTTTATTTTCTGTGTTTTTTATAATTTCTCTAATTTTGTCAACTTGTCTTTTATTTTTATACAATTTATGTATATGTCCCATTCCATAAATAAAAGTATTAATGGGTTTGCATAGAGTGAAGGCGGATTTGGGTTGAACCCCACTCATATAATTTTATCTAAATGGGTCATTAATCGGCTGCTAGGCTAGATGGGTTGAGTTGAATCTCAACCCAAACCCAACCCACTAATTGTCATCCCTAGTGATTTAGAGTGACAAATAGAAAATGTGAATAGCCTTTAACCAGATATTACCAACAAATATTTTCAACCAAGCTTCAAATTATTGATACTCTTTAATATATACTTTCAATGTATCTTGCTATTTCAAAAATCAATAGTGGTTTAATGTGGGCCGTGCCAACCCACATTTTTGCACTGCTCGCACTATAGTGGGCCATGCCAACATGATCTGTGCAGGTTGTGGATGGGGCTCAACCCGAGTCCGGACTCAGGTCTACGGGCCTTGGGCCAGGTCGAGCCAGCCCATTTTATGATTGCAACAACAATTTGGAGGAAAAAAATGACAAATTCAATGATTGCAACAACAATTTGGAAAAAACCCATCTTAAAATGGTATTTCATATGAATAATCAATTTATACAAAAAATAAAATGATTAAATTAAATTGAAAAAACAATTAAATTTAAAAATATAAAATATACAACAGAATTGAAAATTTTACAAAACACTTACAAGGTACAAATAAAGTCGAAAATCTCAAAATTTACAATAATTTCAACTTTTACAATAATCAATTTCAAGTCCTACTATCCTCTTCTTATAGTGATACATTGGATGATGTGTCATCTGTCATGCAGGGGTGTCAATCAACCGGTTTTGGATTGGTCCAATCCAAACTTTATCAAATCAAATTTGGATGGTCCATTATAATTATTGGATTAGGCCAATCCAAAATAAATTGGTCTGAATTGGACCTAAACCAAATTTCCAATAATCCAATCATGAGATCAAATCCTTGTCCAATTTGAAACCAATCAAAACTGAATCCAGCATAAAATCACTTTTAAGAAAGCACTTTTATAAAAGTAATTTTATGAAAAATACATTTACAAAAACACATTTACAAAAATACTTTTATGAAAGTACTTTTACAGAAGCAGTTTTATAAAAACACTTCAATAAAAACACATTTGCAAAAGTACTTTTACAGGAAAGTACTTTTATGAAATCATTTTTACAAAAGCACTTTTATGGAAGTACTTTTATAAAAGAACTTTTATGAAAAAAGTTTTGCAAATGCACTTTTACGAAAGTACTTTTATAAAAGCAGTTTTACAAAAGCACTTCTACGAAAGTACTTTTCTAAAGGTACTTATACAAAAACACTTTTACAAAAGTGCTTTCTCAATGCCAAAAGGGTATATTTTTGTAATTTTCAGATTTTCTTCATTTTGATATATTTTTGTAATTTTTTTATGTCCTGTTTTTTATATAATTTTTATATCTCATTCGGTTTGGATTGGATCCAATCCTGTTCATTTACATTTTAATGGATTGGATTGGATTTGGTTTGTACTAGATTTGGATTGGATTGGGTCTAGTCCATTTGTAAGTGGACTCACATTGGACTGAATCAGGTTGGACCAAATCCAGTCTAATTGACACCTCTAGTGTCATGTCTTCTTTTATCTTGCAGTCTATCTTCTGCATCCAACCAATCTTTCAAACAAATGCGCATATCCAATGTTTCATTTGTCTTCTGGCTCCTCTCATTTAGCACATTGTTTCTTGCATGAAAATAAGATTATGATTTACAATGACAACAGAGGGGTTAGATCACGTGCCATAGCAAGAAGTACAAGATAATTATTTTCCTGTACTTTCCACTTGACTAAAATATCAAAATTTCCTATGTTGGACATGTAACATTTTGATACATATATTCTCAAATTGGGAGTGTATGCACTACTTTGATAGCTAAAATCACTTTTACATTTACCGTAGACTGCTCTCATGCCTTTTCCCACTATATCCTTATGGTAAAATATTTCCAAACATCATTAGTATTCTTTTTTGGTGCCTTAGAATTATTAGGGCTAACATTATATTGGATTTGTTCGGTAGTGGTAGCACTAACTTTGACATCCATAACTACTACCGTATTGTAAGTTAGACTTGTCAAAGGAAGCAAAGTGCAAGGGCATAAGAGGAACTGGCCATTTTAATAAACATTAAAATCTAAAAGATTTATAAAAGAATCTAACTAACTTGGTAATTGCACTTCGGTCCTCGGAGTCCACTCTACCGGTTTAGTATTTTAACTTCAATGCAGAGCTTTTAAGTCTCCCAAATTGCCAATTTCAACTTGAGACACTCGATCAAGTCTCCTTGTTGAAATTAAAAAAAAAAAAAAAAATTAAGAATATGAGAGTAGTATGAGAGATTGAGAGTATAAGAATAATGTGAGAGTATAAGAATGAGAGATTATATTTGATTGTTGTTGTGATGAAAATACCCTTCTAAACTAGCATTTATAGTTGTTGAGAGGGGTATTTTGATTATTTACAAAGTTTATTTAACACTTGAGTCCCCTTAAACTAGTTGTTTATAATTGTTAGGGGCATTTTAATAATTTTTTGCATCCTATATGGTAAAGTACACAAATACTCCCCCCAAAATAATTGTTTATAGCTATTAGGGGTATTTTTGCCATTTACACCCTCAATTAGCCATTACAAAATGGTTAGTTTTGGCTGTGTCAAGTGTTGGCTTTATGGGCCCAGAATCCTGGGTTAACTTTGTCGGTTGGGGCCCAACAGCATAGGCTGTTGAGACAGTTTCTGGACTGGACACGTTCTGAGCAGTTCACCTATTCACATCCATGC